GAGCATGGTGGCACATGTCTGTAGTCCCAGCTACTCAGGAGGCTGAAGCAGAAGGATTGCTTGAGCCCAGGAGTTTAAGGTTGCTGTGAGCTAGGCTGACTCCACGGCATTCTAGCCAGGGCAACAGAGCAAGACTCTGTATCAAAACAAAAAAAACTGGATTAAGGTGATGCCAGATTGGCAATGTTCACAAACTCTTGCAGAAGTAAATGAAAATACTCTCTGAAGAAAGACAAATCATTCAGGGCCCCAAATTATTTCTAAATTTTCTACAATTTGAAAAACAAAACATAATATCTGGCACGCGAGAGACCAAACTTGACAGAAAGAACCAATAGAGATCTACCCACAGCTATGCCAAATATTAGAATCCTCAGACAGCAACTTTAACATGTTCTTTTTGTGTTCCAGGAGACAAAAGACAAAAAGTTTTGGTGGAGAACTGGAAATTATAAAAATGCCAGAAGATTTGAGAAAAGAATCAAATAGACATTCTAGAACAGAAAAAAATACAGTAACCAAAAATTAAGAGGGAGAACTGAAATTTGATCCTAGGAAGTTCAACTTTAGGAGCCATATAACATACTTTCAAAACTAGAAAAAAAATTGCGACATTCTTAACCTCCAAATTTAACTAATTAGAGTAGTCAACTTAGACTGTTTTTCAGTTATTCACTGAAAACATTACATCATATTATAAAAGAAAGATAGCATGGTCAAATATGTAATTTGGGGACAAAATTTTTAAGCCACAGATATAATAAACCCATAGTGATTCAAAAGAACATTTGTCATTCCCCTGAGAAAGGCCCAGTTACATTTAAGTGAAATTGAAGGCAAATTTCAGCTTCTATGATTGACGTGATTTTTATGTTTCATAATACTAGAAAGTTATAAAGAACTTTGTAATTTATTTATTTATTTATTTATTTTTTTTTTGGGACAGAGTCTCACTTTGTTGTCCAGGCTAGAGTGAGTGCCGTGGCGTCAGCCTAGCTCACAGCAACCTCAAACTCCTGGGCTCAAGCGATCCTCCTGCCTCAGCCTCCCGAGTAGCTGGGACTACAGGCATGTGCCACCATGCCCGGCTAATTTTTTATATATATATCAGTTGGCCAATTAATTTCTTTCTATTTATAGTAGAGACGGGGTCTCGCTCTTGCTCAGGCTGGTTTTGAACTCCTGACCTTGAGCAATCCGCCCGCCTTGGCCTCCCAAGAGCTAGGATTACAGGCGTGAGCCACAGCGCCTGGCCTATAATTTATTAATGCAACAAATTAATGTTTGAGACATTTAAGGTAATTCCATTTGGCTCAGTCTGGAATATTTATTTTTAAAATTTTCTGTCCTTCTTGACTTCAGTAATTAGGATATTTTAGAGATCAGATGTTACTTGTCTCTCTTGAGAATGATTTGTCTTGATGTTTGTTTTTAGCTAAGGTAGGTGACTGGGCTTTTCAATTTTTTCAATTTATTTCTCTATTTTTCTGGACTTCAAAGTTGCCACTCTTAGGTGAAAATAGCATAACTTCCTCAAGTGGCAAACTTCTTAATGCAGAGCTCCTTCAAAGTTATATTTTTGACAAAACTTCCCATTAATTTGGGTTCTTAGGAATAAAAGACAATTGGCTGAGTGGAATATCACTGCATTTAAGATCAGAATTAAAGTGGATTATTTCCCAACATGTATTTGCATGGCAGACACTGTGAGGCACCATTGAATCCCCTTTAATGAATGACTTTGTTGTTCCAGTGTGGACAGTGTCAGAGGTCAGCCCCTTCATGGATCCCCTCACCCAAGGTCCCTGTCATATCTGTGGCTATATCCAATGACTGACAGATGCAGAAGTATAAAGACCTGGCCATTTCAGGCCAACAGAGGACAAATCTATAGGACACATTAAGCTCCAGAGCTCCCCATTGGGGTTAGCTGAGTCTGGTGTGGGCCAACCTCACGTTTGACTTCTCTCCCTACCCATGCCAGTTTTTGTCTCTTCATTTCCCCCAAGTGATGATCTGAGGTTGCTCCTTAACAATCATACTTCACATTAACTCCATCCTCGAGTTTGCTTCACAGGATACCCAATCTTTTTCAAATTTTCCTGGAATGAATCAGAGACTCTATCTTCCTTTCATCTACCCATCTATCCATCCATCTATCCATTTCTTTATAGTACTGCTCTTATTAAACCATCCTGGCAACTTAAAAGCTTCATTACTATTTTCTTCAATAACATTTCTTCAGGTTATAACATCTATACTATCCATCACGAAGTCATTTGTTATGTTTGATTACTTTCCAAAAGATGTAAACTAAATGTGAATGTTTAAGCATGTTAGCATACTTTATGATTAAAATCTTGAAGTGCAGCTGTTATTGAATTTGCTAAGTCATTTTCTGAAAACATTAGCATTGGTTTCACCAAATGATCTCCAGGGGGCAGCAGAGAGTAATCTTAATGCAAATAGATGATCTGAGACAAAGCACAGGGTTTGTTTATTTAAACAAAAATAGACTGACTATGAAGTTGTAAGAATAGCCAACTGGAAGAAAGAGTGGATGAACAGGTTGAATACATTCAGGAATTACTGATCAATACATTTAATGATTGTGCATGGAGGAAGATAGAGGATATCAGGTGAGTCTTGAGAACTTGGGTCAATGAAGATCACGGAGAGGTGAACTGGAAAATAAAAATGGGATATGGCCAGGAGAGCATTGGTTTTATACAATCGTACATTGAATTATAGTGCCTTTGTGGTAATTCACTGGATTCAAATCTCTAATCATTGTGCCATGGGCACAGGCAGGATGTAAAATAGAGTGGAATATTGAGGAATTTGAGTTTCTTAAAATTCTTCACACAAGTAGGCATTGTTTCGCCTCTGTGAAATTGGTACACTGGGTACACTTGGGTAGCAGTAGGACAGAGTAGATTGAGGCAGTTGGGACTAAGTGTTTAGCTAGTATATTTGTGTGAGTGAGTGAGAATGTGTGTGTGCATGCATGTGTATGGAAGGGTAAGTCAGGCCAGATGTCTAAGCCAGAGAGCTCACCAAAAATAAAAATGACAAGGCAAGTAGATATTGGCTCATTTTTGCAAGAATACACATCCAGAATATTCAGGTGTGATAGGAGGGGCAGGCAGGTCCTGGAGTTCTAGGGAGTCAAGACTCAAATCTAGAAGGCAAATGAGCAGCCAATGGTATGGGGGAACCAGGGGTCCAGGGGACAAGGGGTAGGAATAAAAGACCATGGAGTCTGTGCAGTAAGTATTCAAGAGCCATGCAAAGCTTCTACGTGTTGGGGAGGAATCCCCAGGGCAAGACTGCAACACCTCCATCTTAAATGTTTTCAGATGTGGCTAAGTCTGAATCTGACTTTGGAGACAAATAAATATACCTGATTGAAAGACGTTTACTCCAATAGCATATATAGGCAGATGAATAAAGTTTTGATTTATCAAAATCAGTAAATCAAGTAAACCAACCATGCAAGTGTGGGGGCATTATGGCTTCAAGTTGCTCTAACTTACTAAAGCTTAGACATCTTTTTGTTTTGGATACCACAACATTAGTCATCATGACATCGTTCTGTTTGTTTCTTGTATGCCCTGATTCTTAACTGGTATTGTTGGAGGAGAATTGAAAGACTGGTGGAGTAAAAGGTTTGAGTTTCTACTTTGAGTGACACCTTTCCCACTCTTTGCCTTCTGAGTCGCTGTGCCCAAGAATACACAGTCACGGAGAATCTGGGGCCTTTAGTTTCTTTAGAGAGGGGCATTTACCAGACATGGATACCTTTATCTTATGTTACTGACTTTCCTGGGATTACTTTGGTGGATGATTATACCAACAAACTCTTGGTCCTTTTATTGTTTTAAATACTCCTCTCCCTAAGAAGTAAAGAAGGGTGGGAGTTGAGAGGTTGGAGGAGGGCAATTTGGTGGTGGAGGGGAAAAGGGAGTGGGGAGAGAAACTCTCATCCTGCCAAATCTATTTTGTGAATTCTATGGGTTTTGATACCACTCACTTGGCCCTTAAAACTGCTGATTGCAGATTGTGGTCTGACCTCAGGTGAGCTATTGGGAGTATGTATATGAAAAGTTGTTGCCTGAAATTTCAAACCGGAGAAGTTGAGTGGAATGAACACAGGGCTAGCAGACATGAAATGTTTTGCCCAGCTGTGCCACCACAGTCACCTTGAAAACGTAAGCAGGCCAGTTAGCCCTTGTGTGCTTTAGTTTGGGTGTGACACTGAGCAGGTATTAAAATAAATGATCACTAAGAATTTTTGATGACATGAGAAAAAGCTCATGCCAGTATAATATTAAGCAGAATAACAGGCTATAGACTTCATTAAGAAACTTGCCCAGAATCATTGGACTAGGAATTGCACAGCAGAGACTTAACCCTATGTCTATCTGTTACTAAAACTGACCACTATGTACTTGAACCTCTATGTGATAGCAAACCAGAATGTCATATTGTATTTTAAGTGACATTTCCTCACTGATTTTTCTGACAGCTTATTAAATATTAGATAGAAGAGATGTTTTTGCTACAGTTCACCCATTATCTTGCTCATACCCCCAAGTATCCCATGCTTTCCAAGACCTGATTACACTGTCTTAAGTGTAATGGAGTCACTGGAAGGAAAGCTTGAGAAGGGGAAGGGAGAAATATGCTTAATATTGGCAAAAGGGAAGATGGAACTGCTAACTTAGAAAAAAAATGTGTGTTGTTTAATCTTTTTCCTGTTCAGAATGTTTTCTTCCCTTTCTTGGAGAGTTTTGCCTTGAGGTAGAAAATTCTTAGCACATGGAGCAATTTCCACCCCCTTCAAACATAATCTAAATGTGTATTAAGTAGCAAACTTAAGGCAGAGTTTTTTGAGAAAGTCTAAATTCCTGATTTGTGGCATTTTAAAGATGGGTGTTTATTTGTTTTTTGGTTAAAATGATCTCCTTAATTCTTCCAAGGTGCAAGTGAATGGCAATTGTGATGAAGATAATTAAGCCCCCACCCTTTCCAAGGTAGATGTCCATGTTCTAATTCCTGGAACCTATGAATGTATGACCTCATCTGGCAAAAGGGACTTTGAAGATGTGATTAAGGATCTTGAGATGGGGAGATTATCCTGGATTATTTGGGTGGACCCAATATAATCACAAGGGTCTTTATAAAAGGGGGGTAGGGTCACAATAAGAGAAGGAGATGTGCCAATGGAGCAGACGTCAGAATAACAGAATAATGGGGCCACAAGCCAAGAAATGCAGGCTTCCTCTAGCAGCTGGAAGGAGCAAGGAGCAAATTCTCCCCAGGAATCTCCAGAAGGAATGCAGACTGGCCAAGACCTTGATTTTAGCCCCGTAAGATCCATTTTAGACTTCTGATTTCCAGAACTGTAAGATACTAAATTTATGTTGTTTTAATCCACTAAGTTTGTGGTAATTTGTTGCAGTAGCAATGGGAAATGAATGCACTTACAACAAACACTTACAGAGTTTATGTTGACTCCCATTATAGACAGTGATTTCACACAAGAATTTTCAATGGAAAATATTTTCTTCCAGACTTGAACACTAAAGCTACATACCTCTTCAACCGGGCAAAAGCTACTAAAAGTTATAGTGATTAGGAAATTTATGGGAATGGGCCAAACCCAGGTAAATACTCTGTTTTCCTTTTTAATATAAGTTTAGACCAATCCGTTTATCTTGGACACATTCGATGCCTTACTGTAAAGTTTATCTGTGCACAGCAGAAGTGAGAAGAGGACCAATGAGCTGAGAGATAACCCGATCAATCTGCTTCCTCCGTCTTTGCTTCAGTGCTTTGTACAGGAAATCCATTGCTGTGTCAAGTTCCAGAGAAGAGTTTCTTCTCTTCCAACTTACTAATCAGGCTAAACCACATAGAGTTGAAGGAAGGGGGTAGGAGGAAGGGAGTGCCCCACTGCTGATGGCCTGAAAGGATCCCGGACAGAGAAGTTGACCAGAGAGGGTCTCACCATGCTCGTGGTACCTTCAGTGTCTGTGTGGAGCATAAGTACCAAGTGAAAGGCAGAAAAAAGAAAACAGAAATGCTCTGCCCTTGGAGAACTGCTGACTTAGGACTACTACTGATTTTGACCATCTTCTTAGTGGCTGGTAAGTTTGAATTCTCTTTGAGAGAACAGCGAGAAACCTGGTCTCAGCTCTTCCTGAGCTTTCTTTGCCTCTTTGCTGGGACCTTGCAAGTCAATTGCAATCATAGATTTAGTCCCAGATTTATTTTACTTTATCGTGCTTGTTTTCCTCTTAGTCTCGTTTATTTTACTTTGTATCCTACTGTAACATATGCATTTCTATAAGTTGCCTCACTGCCCACTTCCTTAATGTCCCCCCCCCTTTTCTGAACAAGGCAGGATAAAGTAAATACATACTAGTAGTGATCAAAACTGCCTGGGTTCTCTTTGTCTTTGTCTCCCTTAAAAAATTTAAATAATAATCCTAAATCATTTACGTCCACATTGCTAATGGTATAAATTAGGAAAGTTTCTTTCTTTCTATCACTTTCTATGACTGGGTGCTTTTGAAATATAATAGGCTTAGAGTTAATAGTGGTGCCTCTGTGATGTATGTCTGTATTTATCTTTAAGATGTGTGGGCTGTAAGAGACATTATGGTTTAGAGAACACACTCCTCAATGACTAGGTTCCTGCAGAAGTTATAGAGAACTTGGTCTGCCGTGGGGGTGTCCTGGTTTCACCAGAGAGGGTTGGCAGGAGTTGATGTGGGAGGGAGTTTTCAGGTTTCATTTTTAGTAGATGGAGCAGTTGCAAAGGAGCAGTGTAGCTGCTTTTACATTTTATAATTGAAAGAGGAAAAAGCATTTTTTCCTCATTTCTGAATGATTTAAAAATGTTACTTTTCTTCCAGGAAAAATTTTGTTTTCCATATGTTAATCTTACTCGTGAGCACATGCAAAATAACTGTGATCTGTTACTGTACCTTGCTATTGAAAATTTGCACGTATTATTTTCCCTTTGATCTGTACAATAACCCAGTGAGGTACACACGGAAGACACTTCTCCATTTTATAAAGGTAGAAACTGAGGTTTAGAGAGTTGAAATGATTTGTTCAAGGTTAGATACTGGCAGAATCAAACTCACTAACAATGTATGTCAATAAGTGTCACTAAACATTTAAGTTAGCAGTTTTCCTCAATAATTAATCATTATGAATTTCACTAAAGAGAATCACTATTTATAACACCACTGGAAAAAAATTAAGCCAATACTTAGTTATAAACTTAATAGACTATTACTTAAAAAAATCAAGTGATCTGAGTCTTTCAGTAGTTGAGATCTTGCAGATAGGAAAAGAACTACTTATGTCAAATTGAACTATTACTTTTGGGAAAAGGAAAAAAAAGATTAACACATAATTAGTAACTTTGAATTTTTCAGGTTGAAAGGTTAAAATTTTAAAACTATTTGTGAACACAACTAGGAGTTACTACATATATCAAATCTCTGAAGTCTAGGCTTGTATCATTATCAAGTTATCAAAATGTTTAGGAACAAGTGATAAAAAAGCAAATTACTTTGTGTGTAGTGATATGGCATCACAACTTGATCATGAAACGGTTTAGAATAATGAGAAGCATACCACTTGGGGCAATGGCCTTCTGTCTTTATTACTAATACTGCTTTGTTAAATATTGCCAAACAGAAATAACTAATTTGTACAAGATAAATTCACAAAGGATCATGAGAGCTAATGATTTCAATGTAAAACATAGCATTAATTTGGTTTTCCTATTTACTTTTTTGTTTATTTATTTGTTTATAATTTCAAATGATGTGGTAGTTAGTAGTCAAAATTTATTAAGAAAATACCGGGGAAGAAAAATAAAAACAACCGAAATCGTCCACCTCAGAGCAAAGTTCCTAACCTTGTACCTGGTCCCCTTCCCTGGCACTCTCTGTACCCCATGCCTCTTCTTCCTCCTTTTAGCCCTATTGTCTTCTAGATTTTTTTCCTTCTGCACAGATTATATTTTTCTGTTCCAATTAAAATTATTCCACCTTTTACAAAAGTTACTGATTTTGCAATTACGAGTTACTAAAAAGAAACTTTTTTCCTTTGGGTTGATTTTATTTATTTATCATTATCTTCCACTAGAGGGCAGGCAGTAACAAGAAGAGAAGATAAAAATCAAGACAGGGCTACTTGGTAGCTTCAGCAGATTTGCAAAAGATAGAAAAAGAGATAAAAAGCAATTATAAAAGAGAAGGGATTTGTTCTCATTAATTTTAATGCTATTTTCCTTTTACAGTTTGTGATAGCTGCAAAATTACATATTATAATAATTTAGAGATGAGTTTTTCTCTAAACATTCATACTTAAGCAATTAATAAATTAGTCAAAAGTCCTCATTAAGACCACTGAGTGTGGGTGTAGGGTGTGCGTGTATGCGTGTGTAGGATAGTGCCTAGAAGTTTTTAGATATCTAAGTTAGGAAGACAAAGCTAAGATAAAACAATTGTTGAACATTAAAATCAGTAAATCTTGAAATTGTCCATGAACCTAGTAAAAATATAAAGGGAGAAATTATGAGGGGTTGGAGTTGTTGAACGCTTTCTGGGTTTTGAGCTGGGCCTCAAATGACAGGTTTGGATAGACGGGGAAACGCAGAGGAAGGAATTGGAAGGAAGGGATGTGTAGCATGAGCAAACACAAGGTGGATTCAGGGAGAGAAAGAGCTCTAGCTTGAAGGAACACACATTGTATGTTATATGATAGTAGGAAATAAGCCTGGATTTCAGGGATCCTTCATAGCTAACTAGAGAAACCTGGGTGTCGGGCAGTAGACAGTGAGGAGCCATCTGTTCTTTTGTGAACAGGAAAATAATATAACAAGGCAGTATTTTTGGAGAATAATGTGGTAGTGTTGTACCATTGGGTGGTAGTATCAATAAGGAACAGATGTGTTTTGGAACAGGAGCTTCTGTCCTGGATTCCCTTTTGAGAAAGTTCCATGGTGCCACTGAGAGATATTGGTGGCCGAGAAAGGAGTTTCTTTGGAAGAATGTTAAATTCAGTATAGGAAGGGAGGACACCTAGGGGGGAAATTCCTATAGATACTTGAAAACATCGCCCTCCGTATTCCATCTCCAGATTCAACCAACTGGAAAATACTCAGGAATAAAAATGGATGAGTATGTCTGTACTGAAGGTGTACAGACTTTCTTCTTGTTATTGTTTCCTAAGCAGTACAGTATAAAAACTACTTACATAGCATTTACATTGTATTAATATCAGGTATTGTAAGTAATCTGGGGATGATTTAAAGTAAACAAGAGAATGGGCATAGGTTATTTTATAGTCCATTTTATAAAGGGACTTGAGCAGCCTTGAACCTAGTGGCAGTCCCTGGCAGTCCTAGAGCCAGTCCTTCAAGGATACTGAGGAATGGATGTATAGCAAAATCTACAATTGGTGAGTCATCCGTGGAGTGGACAATCCCACAAAGAAAATAAACATATAAATAAAACTGATAAAATAAACACTAGAGATTTCGGATTTGAGACATAGTAGCTACAATTATTTCTTTCCTCTCTATCATAGACAGCAAGATCTGAGAAGAGATGGGAACGGAGACAATATAGGGTACAAATTGAGTGCTTTAAATAGGAGGAGAATATGCTTCTGAAATTGAAGAGTAAAATGAGAAGTTAAATATGGGGATACTAGTGGCTTGAGGATGGCAATAAGGTGATGGAACAAATGAGAGTGCTCACAGTAGATAAATTGCCTCCCAATAAGGTCATGAGTATTTCAGTTAATGGTGTTAGTTAATAAAATAACTCACTCATCATTTGGTATTATGTTATATCTGAAAAATTAATCTGTACATTGATTAAAACATAGTAACCATCAATATATTTTTGCCTCTTCTCCTTGGTTGTCACTGACACTCATTTGATAACTCCTGACCAGGATAAGGAAGCAGATCTGTGGTCATGAAATATTTTTTGGACTGTGTGATGCTAATAGCCCCTAAGCATCAAATCAATGACCATTACTTTTAAAATAATAATAACAATAATAATATCACAAATTCATATAATAGTCACAGCCACAATCAGGTCATATTTTTTTCCTGGAAGAAATGACATTGTCCATGCATTAACATTAAACAAACAATTTCAAAGTTTTCCTAGCTAGAATTTATATACCTTCTATGTCTGAAAATCTAGACCCCATTCTAAGAATAAAATCCTATTTGTGTTTGAGGAAAGCAGTATAGAAAAGTTCCAAGATTGAAGCAGGACTGGAAGTTTTTCCATTTCTAAAGAAATGATTTTCTTTAACAATCTCTGCTACTTTGAGTTATTTCTAATGTTTCAGTTTCTTTTAGGATCAGACTCTGAGATAGAGTTTTGTGTACAGAATTTTTGTGAGCAGAGGGAGAAGTCTACCTGCAACTTCAGCTAGCTGACATTCTCTTCTGATCCCACAGGGAGCTCTGGAGTTAGAATGGCCTTAGAGAGGCCCTGCATTGAATAAAATTGGCTGGCCCTTTATACTTCCATCTCAATCAGTCATTGGATGTGGGCTGCCCTGGAAGGGTCTGATTTTGGGCAAAGTAAGTGAAGTGATCCTGGGAGATGCGGAAAACTGAAAGCTGTCTGCCAACAGTGTTCCCAGTAGCAGGGACAAAGAGTCATTTCTTGCAGGCAATTCTGGGGAGCACGTGTTCATTTCAGTTACCATTTCCAATGCTCTTCATTCCTTCTTGAATTTCTGAATTTCTATCTGGTATTATTTCCTTTCAGCCTGAATAATTTCTTTTATCACTTCTAGTAGTATAGACTTCTGGTGAGAAATTCTCTTAGTTCTTAGTTCTAAAATTTTCCCCCAATTTGTTTTGTCTCTCTGTTCTTTAGACTGAATAATTTCTATTTGTATATATTGAAGGTCACTGACAATTTCCTCTTTTTTCTCCATTCTTTTGTTAAGCCCATCCTAATGAACATATTATTTCAGATACTGTAGTTTTCAATTTTAGGATTTCTATTTCTTTTACAGATAATTTTTCCCAAACCTATAAAGAACACATATTCCCTACTTTTTAGTTGTTTTTAATTTATTTATTTAT